GCTCCTCCAACCAATGGAAGCCTTTTGGCACGTGTTATACAGCGACGATTTTGGCAAGGTAACAGTAAAACGTAAAGGCCATCCTGATATGAAATTGACTTTAGGAGAAGGCGGTGACGCCTTGGGGAAACAGGAACGTTGACCAGCGTCAGGGCCAGTCCTCAAAACATGTATGCGGGCAACGACGATAAAGATCGTAATCTCAAAGTTAAAATACGTAAATGAGTTAAATAGTATTTCCACCGAAATGATGCGTGCTCGTGGAGTTGCATATCGCCGTGCTTATAAAAATGCTATCAAAATGGCACGAAACATATTATATCAGAAGGTAGGTAAATCATACGAAAATTTAATGGTAATCAGCTAAGGTACGAAGATTTATGGTAAATAATCCTGTAGAAAGATTATGGGAAAGGTTTGTAGAATACGCGAAACCGCCTACCGAAAATAACGTTTCAATAAATACTGAGACAAAAAAAATTATAAGCTCCAATTTTGCAAAACACTTAAATCTGTTGTCGAAAAATATGATATATTCTATCATAAATTATGCATATATCCATTCCCGAAAAAGTTGGTGCACTGGAAACTATGAGATGATAACTGCTTATCATACTCAGTATATCGAAAGCCGATCAGGAATTTGCCTGCCAGGTCGCACATCCCGACACGTCGTACAGCCCATAATATTTCTATTTATGGTTGGCGTTCTAAATACATGGAATAATACACAGGCAAACTCGATAAGTCGGTCTCTCGATGATTCAATTTTGGCCTAAGAAGGCCAAAACTTCCCAAGCTTTTTTCTCAGTTTTAATATTTAAAATCTCTCGATAAGTCGGTTCTCTCGATAAGTCGGTTCTCTCGATAAGTCGGTCCATCATACATGACCGACTTATCGAGTTTGCCTGTGTAATAAGGCAATTAACTTTACACACGAAAGCGCAGTACTACCGCGCTTTGTAGTGGTATCGCAGTGTAAGGTTTTTATTCGTCCGATAATTACGAAATCTCGATAATTCGGTTCGGACAGCTGTAAGTGATCAACTGTATAAATTAAGTATTAGTATTGTAAAAGACAACTTTAATTTGGGTATTGACAAATCATTACCATATATGTAATAATTTCCTTTAATTCAGTAATATTAAAGTTAACGTAGCATCTAGCGCTTAATATCAACTTTAATATTAACGTAGCATCTAACGTTAATGAACGTTTAAATCGAAACTCGTGGTTGACTTCTAATTTCAGCTTCGCATATGAAAACTGTTTACAGTCAAAGCTTGTTATGATAGAACTACGTTATAATAGAATCGTTTTGTAAGAGAACTTTTTTTTGTCCCGATTTTCATATATTAAAAATTGCTCGTTATAATAGATTTTACAGTAACTCGCGTTATCGTTATTAGTTATAATAGAATTTTGGTAAATCAGTCTATTCACAATTAGTCGCACTATAAATAATGGAATAGTGCTTCAGCAATAGAAATCCAATTCAATATTAATATTATTGGTTGGATAAATTGGGTATAAAACGGATATTCAGCATCTAAAGCGCTTAGTTGCGGCTAGATAGGTTTATTTCATAATTCTGTGACATATCATACCGATTAGTATGCCTTTATTTACTGAATGCAATAAATACACGTATTCATTACTAACGATAATTTTTTGAGTGAATTCATGGATCAAAGAGGAATAAAATTTACGCTATAATAGAATTACACGTGTAATCACTAAGAAGTCCACTATAACAATTATACACATTATTATGGAACTGCTATAAGAGAGTTCATGGGTTGTGCCCAGCTCTCTATTATAACGAGCTTTGACTGATTGTTATGTTTACGATTTGTCGCGTCCTCAAACACTTTAAATTTCTACACGTAACGCCGATGAGGCAATCTGTTTATTCTTTCTTGCCACGAATATCAGATACAAAGGACGATACTTGCTACTACATAAATCAAGAAGTCTATATTTTAAATCTTTAACAACCTGCACACAATTTATTAGCTAGCGTTTATTGCAAGTAATAAAATGGAAAGGACAACTTGACGTAAGTTGTTTTACTTTTCATATTGTTCGTTACCTAATGTCTATATTACTAATGTTTTTTCTGTCAATAAGACGAACATATTTCGAAGAACAACTTTACGAATAATGAACGTCAGGTTCTAATTTCGGGAGATAGTGTGAGTAAGCCTTTAGACATTTGGTCGCTTACAATATATGCGGATTTTGCGTTCTAATCCAGGTATAAAGCTTTTCCCCTGCTTCTGGAAATAAGGCTTTTCTACCAGAGCCGATCCGCTTACTTTTCTCCTTTGTTTTGCTTGTCCATTTTGAACTTGTACTTACCCAACAACTTACCATACCACAATCAATGTCAAAACATCTTGCTGCTTGGTTATTTCCATAGTTTTTTGCGTAGGCAATAACATCCTTTTTATGTTCAACTGAGTACGAATTTCGCGTTTGTTTTACGTTTAACAGTTTTAACAACTCTTCTCCGTTTTGTCATTTGTATAGAAGAAGAATAGGTTTAAACCTGTTTCGCGTATTACGTGATAAATCACAAATGATGTTCTATCGACAAAAATTACATGATTTGATGGTTGCGTGGTCGAATTTCTTTCGTTTTATTAAACTACCCGAAAATAAGCAATACTATAACAAAAAAGTGTTGCTTATATTCGGAAGAATACGGTAAGTATATTAAAAGAACAAAAAAAAAATAAAAACATGGTAGCAGAAAAAGAATTACAAACAAAGATCTAAGTACTGAAAACCTTTTACGGCGAGCTTATTTAATTCAGCTGTACTCGATTTTTTCACAACTTCAACAATATGGTCCACACAATTTACCGTTGTTTTTCTATAGAGTTTTTTAATCAACCCAAAACTACCATCACACTTGAATTTAGTATGTCCAGGTATCATAAAATTAAGTTCGATGCTTTCATAGTAACACAAATTACCAAACATGAATAAAATCAGATGGTCGCGTTGTTTTTATTCTGTCCACCTGCATTATCGCAAGTAATTTTTAAATGCTTTTCGCCTTTGTTCAATCTCTTAATCCCAACGAATGCCATGCTCAGTGTGTCATTAGGACCTTTCCCTATTATTTCGTTCTCATCGAGGACGTAATTAATTTGTTCGCGTGCTGTTTCATTTGAATCCGAATAAATGCACTTTACGGACTAAGATAGTAGATCTTACTTAACTGTTGATCGGAATGGGGTACATGAACATTTTGTGCCAAATTGTAACTGTAATGAACAGTAGTGCCATTGCTACAACAATCAGCCTTACCTTCCGTCGCAAGATAATTCTCGTCCACCAATTTTCTCTGTTCTGCTAATTTTGTGTTTCTGTTATAATGATTTCTTTCTAATTTAGCCTTAACTAAATGTTCTTTGTATTTTTTCTTGCTTGCGAGCATTATACTGTAAACCGTTTCGAAATGTCACATAAATCCGATCTTGGACGCATGATTTGAATATAAGGCGTTAATTGGTGCCATAACTTGCGGGAACGCATCATATTTTAACAATTTTAACGCACTATCGTTTTCGAGACCTGCAAAGACCTGCAATAAAATTACGATAAACCGATTTGTAACTCATTTCAGCTGGCAAAAGTATAAGCGATTAAATAATTCGGTTGACGTTTCTACCAGGACTTCCATGAATTTCGGCATAGTTTTCAAGAAAATTCTTCACGGCGGTTATATCAATGGTTATTTTGGTTTTCCCATCGCGGCATTTTTTTTACATTACCATGAACGCGCGGTATATACCATTCGTCGCTAAGTGTTTTCCAAATGAGTGCGACCAATTCCCAACATATTGGGATACGTTTTCTGACAAAGCGGCATATTACAATCCCAATAATAAAAAGTTCTCTAATTAGCACGCGCTTGCTTTTAAGACGTCGGCTTGCAGTTATTTTGACACCATTCGTTGGGCTATTAAAAATATATCTTGTTTGGATCTAGAGAGAGCTTTAAACGCTTCACGTAATTCTGCAAACTTCTCTTCTGTAATATTTTTTGAACAGCCACAATTGCAACCTATCTCCGCTAGGCACCGTCACCGTGGGCCGTGACGTAGCCAATCGTAAATAAAGAACGATTCTTTTTAGTGATAAAAACTGTTCTTTCAACATAGACAGTATGCAAAATTTTTTTGAAACCGCACCAGGGTATGTTAGTATGATCAAAGGGGTAGTCGTACTGACTGTATTTCGCTAGATGCCGCCGATACGTCAATAATTATAATTTTCCATATACAGATAACCCTATATATAATTTTTATCGTTTTGTAATTTGTTTTTCAATGCTGTATTTAGAATAACGATAAAACAGTTACATTTTTTTTTCCATAATATACACGTCAATACACAGGCAAACTCGATAAGTCGGTCTCTCGATGATTCAATTTTGGCCTAAGAAGGCCAAAACTTCCCAAGCCCTTTTCTCAGTTTTAATATTTAAAATCTCTCGATAAGTCGGTTCTCTCGATAAGTCGGTTCTCTCGATAAGTCGGTCCATCATACATGACCGACTTATCGAGTTTGCCTGTGTATATATCAATTTCTTTATTTTTACTAAAACTGGCTCAAAACATTTTATCATTGTTAATTCTGTCATTAAAGACGTTTTTGAACATGCTATATTAGCATTCAATAACAACCAATTTGGGTTTAATATTAAGTTTAATATCCATTATAGCATTAAAAGTGGGTTAGGGTTTGATAATTTGCTTGCTGAAACATCAACAATGAACTTGCAAAAAGACATTTTTTATAATATTTATTCTTGCTAAAAAAGCACCATTCACTTACAAATCTTTCCATAATATTAACACACATAAGCTTCCACCTATTACTATGCAACCCCATCTCATGAAATCATCTATTACTATACCTCATACACCCAACACATCCACTGCATGTTCTCTAATCTTTTTGTCCACCAATCACCACATGCCCTTTATTGTTTACCTTTTTTTTCTCCCCTTGAAGCATATGGACGGAATCTAATAATACTTCTTTCTTTCCAGATTTCCCCATGATCTGGGTTTGCTGTTCTCCATTCAGGATCAAAAGGAGTGACATAAGAGACCACCATCTGTTTCAGAATTCCCATCACTTGATTGTCCAAAAACTTAAAGCAATCCATTCCAAATGAAGACATGCATATTATTTTCTTGTCAAGTTTTTTGGTCTGGCTGGCTTCAGATTTGGTATGCGAACGAGTAACAGGTCTTTTCTGCCCTTGATTTTTGAATTTTTCTGGCATATTTGGAGGGTCAACAAACCACTCACCAGTGTACCCAAGTTGCCAATAAATGCTTAAATACTCTCCACTGTAATGTTCAAGATCTTCACCTGTAAAAACTTGTTCAGGGCACATCTTGGCTGATGAGGGATACTTCTTATCTGCCCTCGTATAGGGACTGTGGTAATTTTTTACTTGGATAAGAATAAAGGAGTATTGTCCACTTGCAAGCAATATTGGGATCATCAGATCGGCTGCCTGCTGGTTGAGTTTGAAGATAATTGCAATGCGGCGGTGATAATATTCTTTGAGTTCTTCTTTACTTGGTATGTAATCAACTGAGACAAAATGTGTAAAGGCTACATGGCCATCTGGAATGTACTTGAGTGCTTGTTTATCATCTGGGTAAAACAGCTGAACAAAGTCTCTAAGAATGATGGGGAAACTAAACCACTTTTTCTTAAGTTTTCTGACTGCAAGAATCAGAATGAGTCGTGCTACAAGTTCCCCACATGGACCAGGCTCCACAATACCCTTCTTCAATGAATCATTGAAAGTCTTCAAAACTTTGACCAAGTTGTCCTTGTCCTCAATCAAGAAGAATCCTGCTTCTGCTAACAATGGCTCTGAGGGGTAACCAACCAATAGATTTTCCCTGTCTTCTGAGATTGCATAGCATGTTGCTGCATGTGATGCAACAAGATCAGATGCCAGTGTTGGTTGTGATGAGATCTCCAGGCAGGCCAGCAGAAATATGATAGCAATGCTCACACGGGTGTTATCAGCATGTGTCAGATCATCAACTCCCCCAAGGAGCTTAATTTTGAAATGTTCTATCAAGTTTCTGAGGCGTCTGGGATTTTTCTTGTTGCTCTCCAAGTAACTATAGCCTAGTGGTCTTCCTAATCTTGCCAGTGCAAACATTTCTCTATCTTCTGGGTCAGTAATGTCAAGTGGGATTTCACTTTGCTGGAATACATCCATGGTAGAGAGCTTGATAAAAGGGGTAAAAAGAATCATACCAGTTTCTTGGTCCACATTCACATTGTCATTTCTGGTAGATGGATCAGCTGCAGTGGGTGGTGCAAAATTTGCCACTTTGCTAAGTGTATCCAGAAACAACACAAAGAATCCTGTCCATTTACCTTGCCTGCTGATCTGTCGCAGAGCTCTTCGAAAGAGTCTGAATGGGTTAATGGCATCTTTCCGAGAAGGAAGAAGAGACCAAGCCTCATCAATGCATATAATCATCTTAACGTCTTCTTGCCCATATGACTGCCAAGGGAGATTTTGAGACATAATCCCCAACATGCTGTTTTCAGTCACTTGTTTCCAATTCTCTATGTCCCTCAGAACCTCAGCCCAGAAGGAAGGACCCCAAAGCCCCATCTGTAGGTCCCACATCTGCTCAGGTGAGTGATTTTTGTTCTTTGTGTAAAATAAATTCATTAACTGAAAAAGAATGTAAACAAGTCGCCATTCTTCTCCCTGTCGAAGTTGTATGAAAAGGTTTTTTTCCAAAAAGTTTGCAATGATTTCTGTCCGTGGAGGATATCCCGTACTTGCTGCAGGACGTAAGCAAAGGTAAAGTGTGGGAATGTCCTTGGCAACCTCTTTGATAAGACGAGATTTGCCATATCCTGAGGCTTGGAACAATGTCCAGTATGGAACATATTTAGTTCGATGTTCTGTCCAATATCGGTGCTTAGCATGAAGCTCACGTTTGAAGTCTCCAATGACATTCTCAGCATCAATGTAACTTAAATTAAAAGCCAGCTCCACTTCATTTTGCTGAAATGGTGAAATATCAGCTTCGACTTTGCTCTGTTCACCTTCTGCTAAAGCCAACACAATAGGTTAGAAAAGAAAAAATGTAAAGAAATGCAAAAGGAGACAGTTAGTCAATGTTGCAAACAGCATACAAAGGTTGCTCAAATGAATAGACTAAAACAGATATACAGTAATTATAATATGATAACATTCATTATGCTCTATTCTATGCCCCTACCAATGCATGTTGTAATGCATTTCCAACTATTCTCCCTCTTACTCTGTTTGACCCCATGGCTACTCTACAAACCCCAGTTGCTCCTCTAGTAACCCATAATACCCATTGTAATTGTCTCCTCCAGTTCACCGTTTATGTATAACCTAGCTCTGCTACGATTCAGCACTGTATTTTCCTCCATTGCTCCTACTCAAACGTATTATATCTTGCTAATTTGTCTTTGAAACGAGTTACATATAACCTAACCTTTGCTACGAACTCTGCTCTATGTCCCAACCCCAACGCATGTCACAATGCATTTCAACTATCCTCCCAATAAACGTGTATTCATTGCTTGCTTACCTGGTTGCTCCAAGTACGCCTTAATGATGTCACCATCCGTGGCATTTCTGTTCTTCTTTACATATGAACCGATAAATAAATCAGGAATATCGTCTAAGGTAAGTGGCGGGTCCATGTTGTCAGTGTTATGAGAAGGAAATAAAAGAACGTGTGCGCGTTTATATCCATGGGCATATCACGTTGTGGAACAATTGCAAGCATCAAATCAGATTGTCTGATTGTTGCCCCTGTGATTAACCTGCTACGTATAACCTAACCTTTGCTACGACTCTGCCCCCAATGCATGATTCGAACTATTCTCCTACCTCCCACTAAACGTACGTTGTTTGCTTGCTTACCTTGTGACTCCAGATACCTGATATGCTGCATTGAAATTTCAAACATCACAATTCGCGCGCACAACATTATTATAGATACAGTTTTACGTGTGAAGAAAGAATTCTTTGCGAAGCATTGTTATTTTCTTTTTTTAGTGTTTGAGTTTGATCCTGTTTACAATAGCTTTGAAACAGCAGAAGGATTTCAATTGATCATTGTTATAGATCTAGGAAGGATCCTTTGCTAGTGATGAAACCCCAACAGTGAGTGCCAATGAGGCACTAAAAACATAAAGACATTTCTAATTCAACAAGAGGGTGCCAGCAGCTATTTAAAAGCCGCCAATAGTTTGGAGAAGTTCATTCGCGTAAAAAGGTAAAGTAGCATAACACAATTCTTAGTTAACAATTAGGGATATTTATAGTCAAACTTTTTATGTAAAGTTGACTGGAATTATAATAAAGGAAAATTTGTTTAATTGTTAAAATCGCATTCCTATTAAGGAAACTCCCCATAAATGCAAACCCCCCATAAATGCAACACAGCACTCGGTCCGAGGCGTTGCATTTATGGGGTAACTGAGTATATATATAGGCATTTTTAGTTTAGTGGCACAAGAAATTTTATTGGTTAATATACTCCGTTGGCGCTTTAACTTTTCTACCTCATCTAAACGACGAATTATATCACGCATATATCTCATCGTTTTCAGTCGTAAATTCCCTTTATTTTTAGCTGTCTCAAGTG